CAATTGCTCCGAAAAATGTAAACATTAATTACTTTTTGATAATTAAATGAGATTTGACGTCTTCAATGGTTTTTCAAAAATGCAAATTATAGATTTTTACCTAAGTAACAAATGAGTTATGGGCTTTTTTTACATTTCAACTGGCCTTTCGACCATCCGGTACCCAAAACTATCCATTTGAAAAAAATGACAAAAAATCCGTCAAATAACTTTTCTTAAAATTTAAGAAATGTTCAGTTTAAAGTGTCAAAAATTAGAGTTTTACGGGAAAAAATACCACCCTTCAATTCAACTGAAACGCTCGAAGTTACGGCCCTAAAAAGAGAAGCTATATCTTAAAAAGATTCAAATTCAATACAATAATTTTACAAATGTTTCTTTTATATAGGAGAATATGTCATGGATTTTAAGGTATTTAAATCACATCTTCCAAATTTTAAATACTGTGTCATTTTCATTTCAGTTTTTGCAAAAAACTTTAAATTATCAAAATTAATGAAGTCAATCCGAATTGAAAGTAATCTTAACGTTTCTTTTTGCAGTGCTATAGTACTGTGGGTAAAATGAATCACACCATCAAATTCGCCAGGCGTATGAATGGGATGAACATAGGAGTAGCAATTAACAGAAGCAGTGTTCAACATCTTGACCCAGGTAAAGGTTTAGATTGACACACATAAAAAGAAAGAATTTGTAAAATTAAAGCTGGATAATGTTCTTTTGATAATACAAATGTGTTGTATTGTATTTCAAATTTGTAAATGTAATTACAGACTGTGTGACACAACCCATTTAAATAATATGTTAATAGAGAAATTTGTTTTATAAAATTAGTGTAGTTATTTGATGCCATTTATGTATGATCTTTTAAATAAGAAATAAAGAGCTAGGGTATATATTTTCAAAATTTATTATTGATTGCTTAATTTCTTTAAAATTTCAGACATTGCTCCTTACAAAACAAAAATGTATTCTGGGATTGGTTTAACTATGGCAGATCAGGTTCGTTTCTGTATATTATAAAAACTAAAAAAACTAATTACAAAAGAGTACATTCGTAATTGTAAACCAAGTACAGGGTATCCCAAAGTGCATCATGGAAAGGCGTGAAGCCTTGACTTTAGCTTCTCGTATACACCACATTACTAATGGAAAGTTTTAATGTAATCTGACTTCTTTTGTTGCAGTTTTGCCACAAACTCGCATTTTCTAACCCCTATATCTTTGCCTAAACCTTTGATATTTCAAACTTAGACTTTTTAATCTACCAGAATTAAAAGTTTGAAATATCAAAGGTCTAGGAAAACGGGTTGAAAAGTTATAAGAATTAGAAAATCAGAGTTTGTGACAAAAATTCAATTCCCTAAACCTTAAATCCATGTGTTAAGATTCTCAGCACGTATGCCTCTGTTCAAAACTCTGTAAAGGTATAAACAAAACATTGTTTTGATTCAAATAAAACTTCAAACCTATTTCTTTTTGGAGAAGCTTAAAGGGAGTGTTAGCGATAAATAAAAGGGGGTATAGGCTAACGTCGAAAAATATTCGATGGTGAATGCTTTCACTTTCTTTTATCTGTTACAACGGTACCGTTTAAACATTTTTATGAATGCATATATGTCTAAAATACCAATATTCTTATAACCTAAGATTGATTAAATAGTTTTTTTTTCGGTTTCTCCATTCATGTCGTTTGCAAAATTATGCAGTAAAAACGAGAAAGACAAATTTTGCCTAATATTTCCTTATTGCTACTTTGATAAAGGTTTATTAGGATACCAACGTTGTGAATCGTGCAATAGCAGCTTTTTTAATTGAGGGTCACTTGAAATTACGTCGGCAGTCCCTTTAAACAAATAATTGAAAATATGTTGTTTAGATCATGTCTGGTAATACAATGAATGATGTGCTGGTGACTAAATCTGTTACTGACAAAAAGGATCTGAAAAATGGCAAGAGCATCAATTATCTAATAATAAATATAATTTAACATGGTCATTTTTTTAGCACTTTTTAAAAATTTAAATGAATGCGTGGATGAGACTAATGAAAATGAATACATGCATTTAGGAAACCTGAAGAAAAATAGAAATTAAATAGAAATAATTTTAAAAATTTTATTTCAATTTCTAAAACATGCTTGGCCAAATTTTGAAACAAAGGAAATCGCACGTAACATAATAAAATCTCCTCTTATTGAAGAGATATTGACCTAGATAAATTAGAATAGATTGCTCATGCAGACTGTAAAGCTGAAAATTGTACAACCCCTTGTACATCATGAACTCGTCATTTGAAGAGGTCATTGAATACTTCTTTAGGTCAATCTGTAGAGATTTTTTTTTACTAATTTATTTAAAGAAGTTTAATAAAAACTAGGCCTCACCCATTAACTATTTTAGCTTTTAACCCTAAACAGGCTTGGCCGGCCCTATAGTTTTTTTTTGTCCTAGCACTCTCATTTTTGTCACTTTTACCGTGAAATTTTGTGACTTTTAATGAAAAATTAATAAGGATTTTTCTGTCAATTTTTTTTATGCATAGAGTAGGGTACAGGGCGGTTAAAAGTCCAGTCCGTGTAAAAAAAAATCTAAAATGGCCATTAACTTGTTTGTGACTAAAGCTACAGATCTAAAAATTAAATTAAAAATTAAAAATTCCTTAAAAAATAGATGTAGAAACATGTTTCACAATTGGATATCTGTTTAAAAAAATACAATTTTACCTTTTTTTGTTTTTTTTATTCAACCTTCCCTAGAGCCCAAACTATTAGAATTATTTGTCTAATTTTTTTTCAATAAGCTGGCGTTAAAAAAAATTGGTCTATGAATATGCATTTTAATTCTATACCTATTCTCTAAGGCCTTTTTATAATGGAAGGGCGTGGGACGCTCCCCCCCAGGCTATTCATAGATTCAGACCCCCCAGCTTTTATATGGTTGACTGTTGCCCTGAAAGTCGCCATTAAAAATCGTTTAAAATTTGTGTTTCTTTTTTTGTTTAAATTGGTACATTTTCAAAAGTAATAAATGTCGACTTTTTTTCATGACCCTTTTAAAATTAGAATATCCAAAACAGATTCTAAAAGTGAAAATTTCTCAAGTCCCACAAAAGCATACAAGACAAATGTGTAGATGAAAGTAAAGTTTTAAAAATCTCTTTATTGATGAGCCAACAAAATTGAAAAAATTAGGAATACATAATTATCAAAAAGTATATTTTATATTCATAGGTTTGGAACTTCGTCTAAGTTGTAAAAAGAATAAGTAACAATTTGCAGTAGCCAATCGATTTCTCTATTGCACTCAAGACAAGTTAAAGAGAGATCTTGAAAAAAACCAAAAATAGGTTTAAGCAAATTGAAAATGGGTAATTTCCTAGAGAACGATTTTTGGACCACCCCTTTTCATTTTCAATTTCAACTGCAAACCTCCGGTATGGTGAAGACGACATGAGCAATCTATTCTAATTTATCTAAGGATATTGAGAAGAACACCAATGTTTCGAATATCGTTTATGTAATCGAAAACATTTACTTTTCACATATTTGACGTGTAAGATCAAAACAAGAGGAGATTTAAGATCACAATTCGTACCAGTAAAGTAATGTAAAACAAATTGACTTTCTTTTTGGGGACATAGTTAACCGGAAAAAGAAATGTATAAAGAAAAATTATGCTATGAATAATTTGACAATGAGTGGAAATTGTTCAGAACTCGTTGAATGAAAAAAATAAGACTTCCATCCACTTGAATGATAAATTCTTGCTGATACTTTGAAATAAAAATATTTTCTCAAAAACTTAAACGTTCCCAAATATAAAGAAAATTCCGAAAATTCAACATCTAAATCAATTAAGTCGATGTAAGGCAATATTTTAAGAAATCTCTTTAAACGGTTAAAATTCAACAGTTAGTAGGAATCTATCACATTATTCCAAAAGCGAATGTGATTTGAAGAAAACGATCATCAACTTTGAAAGGTCAGGAAATCAATCTTTTATTAATTGACTAATTTTTTTTTCAACTGTTTGGTCTTTACAATATAATCCTAATAGTGTGGGAAGTACAAGCTGAAATACGACAGTTTTCCAAATAAAAATTCGGGAAGCTCAAAAAATGTGCACATTTTTTTACGATAGTACAATTTGAATTTCTTTCAGAAGAACTTTATTCTAAGAATTATGAAGTAGTAACACTAAATGTTCTGAAAGAAACTGTATACTTATTACTAAGTTACCTTTTATTTATAGATTGGCATGTCTGATTTTCAAATGTACTGTTAAAACCTTTATATATCCATAATGTGATTTGATAGGTGATTTTCTTCCGTCTAAAAATTTTTAATTGAAAATAATCCATTTTCAACAGAAAAGTACACGTACGTCTTATTCATTTTAGATCAAACAAACCTTTTGAGGCTACTTTTATGACTCAAAGATGCCAATTTATGAATGGAAATTTACTTACAATTCCGTTCACAGTCCTTTTATAGGTTTGGTGGGTGTAGTAATCCTCTAGTTCCACAAGTAAATAATTCACTAGCAAACTGTTCCCCCCTTCAACTTCTCAACATTTACCAACAATCAATCAGGTTAAACTTTAAAAGGGATTGTAAACGACATTTCAATAAATCAGGTGTATATGACTGGTAAACGATATTTCAATCAATCATATTAATGGGACTGAACGCGATATTTCAATCAATCATATTAATGGGACTGTACGCAATATTTCAATAAATCAGGTTAATGGGACTGGTGAACGATATTTCAATCAATCAGGTTAATGGGATTGTAAACGACATTTCAATAAATCAGATGTATATGGGTGGTAAGCGATATTTCAATTAATCAGGTTAATGGGACTGTAAACGAAATTTCAATCAATGATATTAATGGGACTGTAAGTGATATTTCTAAAAATCAGGTTAATGGGACTGTAAGCAATATTTCAATCAATCAGGTTAATGGGACTGTAAGCAATATTTCAATCAATCAGGTTAATGGGACTGTAAGCAGCATTTCAATCAATCAGGTTAATGGGACTGTAAGCGATATTTCAATCAATAATATTAATGGGACTGTAAAAGAAATTTCAATCAATCAGGTTAAAGGGACTGTAACGACATTTCAATCAATCAGGTTAATGGGACTGTAAACGATATTTCAATTAATCAGGTTAATGGGACTGTAAACGATATTTCAATCAATCAGGTTAATGGGACTGGTAAACGATATTTCAATAAATCAGGTTAATGGGACTGGTAAACGATATTTCAATAAATCAGGTTAATAGGATTGTAAACGATATTTCAAAAAATCATATTAATGGGACTGTAAGCGATATTTCAAAAAATCATATTAATGGGACTGTAAGCAATATTTTAATAAATCATATTAATGGGACTGTAAGCAATATTTCAAAAAATCAGGTGAGAGGGATTGTAAGCAATATTTCAATCAATCAGGTTAATGGGACTTTACGCGGTATTTTAATCAATCAGACTAAAGGGACTGTAAACGATATTTCAATTAATCAGACTAAAGGGACTGATAACTGTATTTCAATCAATCAGGTTAAATTGGGACTGTAAGCGATATTTCAATCAATCAGACGAAAGGGACTGTAAACGATATTTTAATAAATCAGGTTCATGGGATTGGTAAACGATATTTCAATCAATCAGGTTAAAGGGACTGTAAACGATACTTCAATCAATCAGATTAAAGGGACTGGTAAACGATATTTCAGTGGACGGCTGTTTTGAGTTTAAATGCCAAATTCAAGAAATTGCTGACTATAAACTAAGTAGCAATGAGTAATGAGGTAGAAAACGTAATTTTTCTTTGTTGAAGAGACAAATTTTGTCAATTTCCTTCCTTGTCTCAACCTAAAGTGAACTTAATTCCAAGTCTAGGTTAAGGTTAAAAATTAATTTAAATAGGTTTCTGACTTAGGCCTAGATTTTTAGGTTTTGATATTTTTCTAGCTTTTAGAGAGAACAAGTGGAATTTTGTTCGTATTATTAAATTATCAAAAGTTCCTAGGGATTTTGTAATTTGCAACTGAAAATTATGTATAAGTGGAAATATTATAATTTCAAAAAATACATAATAACAAGTCCTTATAGACATTTTTAAGTAAATAAAAGTATGCTGCATTTGTTCCACACTTTTTTGGATCCCACTGTATAGGATACATTAATTCCATCAGTTAGTATAACCACTAATTATTTTTCAGTAACTCTAATTTTACCCCTGCTACTAATGTTGTTTGTCCGGAAGAATGTGTGATTGTTAAAACAGAATCTTCTATNAGCAATTCTTTTTCTCTTTATACGCAACAGATGGAAGTAAACTAGTACATATCACTTTCGAATTCAATTCGGAATCAGCTCATACCCCATTTTAGTGTATTTAATGTTGTTGTAAAACGAAATGTTTTAACAGTAGCTTTACAATCTTTTTTGATTAAATTGTTCTGTGTACAAACTATTGCCCGGTGAGACACAAGTCCGTTAAATGTGCAGTACAATTTGATCGTCTACCTAATTCACATTTTATGGGTCCCATTTTTAATCTGTAGTATATGCGAAGGCAAACCTTTTTGGCCTGTAAATTCAAATTGTCACAAACTGTAGCTGAGTCCGTACCTGTACCCTGCTGTACTCCCAGCCCCTCTCCAGGGTACGCCTCTAGTACTAATCGGCGTATATATCAACGAAATTTTGACATCTTTTTAAAAACAGCTTTGCTTTCTATTAAGTTTGCTTATAAAAACAAATATGTTCTGAAAACATCCTCGTATTAATACAACTGTATGATGTCTGAAACCAAAATTCTTTGCAATTAAATCACTAAAAACTCCGGTTCATTTGAAGTACAGAACAGACTTTCAGGCAGCTAGGGTAAGTGGTAAAATATTCATAGCTAGAGCTGAACGATTGCAAAACGGCAAAATACAACAAAAGAATCATCTCCTTCTTGTGACATTAATATAAAAGATATGAGTAAATCAAAACTGATATTCTAATTACCATAATTTATATAATCTTTCTAAAAACACCCCAAATTCTATTAACAGGTTTATTTTGTTTAGGAAATGTTAGCAATGTTGCAAGGGATTTGGAATGACACAACTCTAGACTTTGTTATGTTTAACGTATATTTAAATGGATTAGATCACACACAACTCACGTTTCATAGTCAGGTTATTCAATTTCTAGTTTGCAGAGTGTTAAATTCTTACAATTTCTTTCTCTGTACCAAAACATCTGCAAGTATCTTTTGTATTGAAATCGCAATTGCAAATTTGCAGGAAAAGAACATGGCTTACTCCATTCGTTTATGCTAATACAAATGGTTTAAAGTGTATTATGTTACATCAGCCATGATGACATCACGATTCTATAAATGTAGGATCGCGTAAAATTACGTTTACACTCTACATAAAGTCTCTTTAAAGGGGCCATATATCTAATTTCAGGTGATATTTTTATACTAGAAAAACAAAGATATATTCCAAAATATGGTCAGATAAAGGTTTCGTGGGTAGCCAAGTGAATCTAAATGGAAGGTTACCAAACTAAGAATTACAACGATAGTCTCTTTAAACCTGTTTTAATTAACAAACAGTGTACAAACTCATTTTCAAAACTTTTGTTGTAATAGGAACTTGATAAATCACCTAATACTAAATTCTTTCCCGTTACCTTATTGGCAGATTTCAAACTGAAGTTTAAAGGAATTGAGTCTTTGCCACAAACTCTGATTTCCAATCCTTATATCTTAAACAACCCAATGTTGTATACCTCAGATATTTCAAACTGGAGATTTTGTAGACCATAAATCCTATCTTGGAACCTTTCTCCAATAGATGTCGTCCTAGAGCCGACACCAAATCAAACCTCCCCAATCAATAGACGCTAAATCCGTGAAAAGTGAAAACACATTTTAAATATAGAAATGCTTATAATTCGTGATTATCGCTGTTAACAATAATTTTTGTAACTAACCGGGTATTTATTTGTTAGAAGCAAAGAGAATAGAATATATATTAGAGTGGAATTTACTAAAAAAAGTGTAAAACGGCCATTTTGTTGTACTGTTTCCATACTGCAGGTGTACTTCACATATTTATGCTATATAACCTTTTGGGCCCTGGAATATCATTTTTTAGAAAATCTAAAATTAATGTTAAAAGAAATCCAAATTATGAAAAAGGCTGGTTTCATAATTGACCAATAATCATTTCACATAGACTCTATGCCTTTCACTTTACAAACGATGATTTTCCGTTATAACTTTAAATCAAATGATGTTTTTATTCACATAATTCATTTTATAAAGTTTATTTAACAGCTTTAAAAAATTCGAAATTGAAATGGAAAATCTAGGGAACATACTGTATTAATGTACTCTACTGCATATAATTTGTGAAAATTTACATGATTTGTACACTTTGAACTCCCTTTCGGGCTGAAAGGGACTGAAAAAATTCATACCGAGAGATTCTTTAAATTCCACTCTAATATCAATTCTATTCTCTATGGTTAGAAGTCAAAAAACGTTTTATTCTCCAGATCCTATCGGCCCCTCATTTTTTCTACCTATCTAGAACTAGTTTTGTTCATTAAAATATTATAACGATTTATCCCAATATTTTGTATTTTCTTGTATTTGTTTACAAAACTGTATTTGCTCCTAGGTTTGATATACAGATTTTTTTTGTGTTTGTCCCAAACTTTATAAAAGCGTAGTGAAACCTTAGAACAACCTTTCAACCCTTCACTGAGATTATCAACCTTAGATCAACCTATCGACCCTTCACTGGGATTAACAACCTTAGATCAACCAATCAACCTTTCCCTAGGCTTATCAACCTTAGATCAACATATCGACCCTTAATTGGAATTATCAACCTCGAGGCCCCTTTGTTCTTTTACAAAATTATGTTAGATCAAATAATTTAAGCTTTGAAATATTAAAAGTTTACAACAGCTTGCAAAGATATAAAGATTAGAACATTTGAGTTTGTGGCAAAGAGTCAATTTCTTTCAAACAAACAATTCTGTCTGATTAAATATACAAAGTTTTAAAATATCAAGGGTTTTCACCATCATGTTACTTATATATAGAAAATAAGAAAATTAGAGCTTTTAACAAGTGTTTAGTTCATTCACTTGCAGATAATACAGCCTTTCGGGAAATTTTTTTCCTATTTCTGCTTAAGAGTTTGAACATAATTCAAAATTATAGGAGACGCTCTTAAATAAATATTTCTCCTAACTTAGTCCTTCAGAATATATAAATTATTGGTCTATAATTATAGAGTAACTGAAGTCATAAAGAATGATCGCAAAGTTTGAGTTAAAGCCAATCCATTTTTTTAAATAAAAAGTTTTAATGTGAATTGAATTTGATATTCAGGGAATGAATGAATTTCTCTCCGCTATCGGGGGAAATTTTGGATTTTATTTCGGAGGATCTCTCATCACATTCGTTGGTAATATATAATCTAATATTAAAAAGATAAAACATTGATTTGCTAGATGTTTTCTGAAAGTTAATGTTGCTACAGTAATAAACCAAACAAAAAATTTTGTTTTTTTTTTTTTCTGAAAAGTCTGTAAGGATTTTGTAACTTCTAAATGAACTTGAAAATTTTTAGAAATGTATCTGTTGCAACAATTTCAAATTAATTATTTACATCTAATGCAAAAGAAATATTTTTTTGTGGGTTCTCACCATATTATATCAATATTATTGTCATTTGACATTTTTGCTTGAAATGAAAGAAGTATATATGTAGTCAAAAAAAGCTAAAGATAATTTTAACAAGACAAAATAAGAAAACGAACAAAATTAATAAATATATTTTAGAAATGTTGTTTACTGTGGTCTCACTTGCATTGGGTGGATTTGGATTTCTAACTGCTTTTGATAAAGATAGATGATTAAATAGTTGATAGATGAATAGATCATGACATCAGTATGTGTAATAAATTAAACATATCTATATATAGCTTGCAGAATATATATAATAACAGAAAACCTTCTCATTTTTCCGGCCAGAACGTTCTCTTCTTACAATAGAAGTAATTAAAATCATTTAAATATTTCAAAATTAATGAAGATAAATTCAAACACAAAAGTATATTTCAAAAAATGGCACTGGTTAAATAAAACTTAAAATATATACAATAAAACATAAACTAAAAGCTCAAATTTTTAAAGCCAAAGTTATGACACAGTTCTTAAGTACAAATCACAAGTACCTATAATTGAAATCTGTAGAAATCTATCAAAACCCTGCAAATTATAATAATGATGATATACTATAAGCTGAAATCACAAGGCATACATAGAAGAGGGAGGGAGGAAGGATGTAGTTTTGTACTTAATTCTTTTAAATTAGACAGATTTCTCGAAAATTTTATGTGGCCGAAAAATAATTAAAAATTCCCAGCTATTTTTTCAATTTTTTTTTAACTGACATGAAAATCTTTAAGTGTACGTTTAGCTTATTTCTGACAAGTTAAGGTTTGATAAACTATCTTTAAAACATGTGAGGATATCTACTAGTAATATGAGACTTTAACAATTTTTTAATTTTCAATACATGGCTTGAACGAATTTTACGATAATTCTCAAAACGTGATTCTTTATCCAATTAAACCAGAATATTTAGCAGGTCGGAAACGTATATCTAGCTGGTTTTAGTAAAGCTGGTCAACTGATGAACCTTCACTAATTTCTTTATCACAAGCAAGCTTGGATTTTCTATCTCGCCTCCGCGCCAGATAAACACTAAACATAATATTCATATATTAATTATAAAACTAAATAAAATTTTGTTAGAGTGATAACCAGAAAACTGTGGATAAGAAATAAGTTGTTAAATCATTGATGAAGTGAAATGGGTCTATTTACACTGCACATGCTCACTGAACTAGTTACAGTCATACTCATAGCTAGAGTCTAAAAGTTGACTTTCTATTCCAGAGTTTTCTGGTTATCACTGTATATTCGTATATAATTCCTAGAAAGTAATCAGAAGCCTTTTTGTAATCTATTTATTTATAAATCTACTATAGTTTATCAATTCATCTATCTTTGTAGAATCTACGAAGAATCAATTAATCTACTTATCTATTTTTCTAATTGTACTAATAATAGTAATACGAAAAGAATTTAAGTTTTTCATAGTTTAATATGAAATCCATTTATCTTTCTAATCATACGCTAATTCAGTGTAGAGTGTACATTGTACAGTGTATAGTGCTCAGTGTACAATGTGCACTGTACATTACACGGTGTGCAATATACAGTGTGCAGTGTACGGTATACAGTGTACAGTATACAGTGATTCGTGAGAAATTTGGAAATTTTGAATTTTCTGGAACATTAATCTCTTAATGTTAAAATTACTTGAAGCGAAACAAAAGTGCGGAGAGTTGAATTAGAAAAAGTGAACGTTTATAAATGTCTTCATAGTTATGAAGAGCAGTTGAATAGGTATGGCTAATTAAGCTACTTCTCAGTTGTTTAGCTGGTTCATCTACTTCTCAATATAACTGTAGTTAAGACTTAAGTTAATCTTATTAATTATAAATTTACATATCTCACAATTTCATATTTTCTCTACCAACAAATATTTTTTGGTCATGAAATTAACTGAATTCTTTTTTAATGAGCTTTCGTGTTTAGCTTTTGTTAATTTAATTAGATTGGGAATTCCTTTCACTATCGTACTATACAACAAGCTGAAGTGATTGCTTATTAATATAAAAATACAAATACATAAACCTAATTTTTTAAATTCCCTAGGATTACATCTAAGCTTATTTTTCTGATCAAATCTGTTCATTAGAATTTAGTGTTTAGCTTTTGTTAATTTGATTGGATTAGGAATTCATCATACTAAACAACAAGCTAAAGAGATTGTTCATTAATCTAAAAATACAAATATATAAGCCTATTTTTCAACTTAAATAAGCCAATTTTTCTGATCAAATCTGTTCATTAGGCAAAAACTAAAAAGTAATTATCAATTTTTATAAAGTTTAGTTTTGGTCCTTAACTAGAACCTTGCTTAAAACCATCTTTTATCGGTAAGATATGCTTTACTGAGTTTCTTATTCCAATAATTATGATATTACTAGGCTTTTAGGGCGCTTTGCGCCCATCTTCTATTTAAATTGAGAACATGTTCTTTTTGTTTACATTTAAAAATTTAAAAATTTTTTTACAAAATTAAAGACCTGTAAAGCACATTTTTTAAAAAATTTTATCATTCCCTGTGGTCACGAGATGTACTACAAAAAATTTGGGCCCGATCGGTTTTGCCGTTTTGACGTTTATTGGATACAAACAAACAGACAGATAGACAGACAGACAAGCCAAATTTATATATAGATGAGTATCCAAATTAGGGACTTTCCAGATTAGGGACTATCCAGATTAGAGACTATCCAGATTTCCCAGATAATGTTCCGACCCACCAACTCTCAATGATAAGAAAACCAGACTAGAATTTGAATATCTAGTATCAACCAGTTTTTCTTTCGCATTAGGAATAATGGCGACCCTGTCTGTAGGACTATAGTGGTTATCGACAATATTTCTAGTTGTTGACTAATATTTACAGGACAAAAACGTTGGCAAACGGTGAAATTCATATTTTTGTGAAATACTTAAAATTATAAACTTAATACAGTTCATTTTTAATAATCTGCACTTTTATATATTCAATTTTATACGGAAATCTGCACATCTATATGTACGTAACTTCAAACTTTTATATGTACATCTGTACACTTTTATATGTACATCTGCAAACTTTTATATGTACACCTGTAAACTTTTATATGTACATCTGTACACTTTTATATGTACATCTGCAAACTTTTATATGTACACCTGTAAACTTTTATATGTACATCAGTTCACATTTATATGTACATTTTTGCCCTTTTATATGTATACATCTGTCCACTTTTATATGTTCATCTGACCTCTTTTATATGTACTTTGTACACTTTTATATTAAATTAGTTTTATGATTCCCTTTTTTGAGACATTTCCGTGGTGATCGACATCTCCGTGATGACGCTTTTCCATAGCACCCACTTGTGTTTACATTATAATTAAAGAACGAACTAAAGTTTACAAATTGTCTTAACCCCTTTATGAAACGCTGGTTCTTTCTGTTACCGGGATTCATATGACGATACCGTGTCTTAAATTTTGGGCTCCGTTATAACATCAAACTCATGTACATTTGAGCATAACTTATAATTTTTGTATTAAAAACATTACCTCAGTACTCCGACAAAAAGACAGGTAACGCAACTTAAACCCAGAATTAACGCCAAAATCTAAACAAAATATATGTTTTTATTTCATGAAAAAATATCAAGAATTCTCTGATATGTTGTATCGAGGTCCGAGTTGTTTAACTGAAGAAGATAAAGAAACATAAAGATTTCGATCCCAAACAAAAGCTTTAAATATCTACATCTTTTTCTCATTTCAATGAATGGTTTACAGTGCGCGGTCAAAAAGTTCCAATTTTTGCTTCGATAATAAATCGTCTCAAGTCTTGAGCCGCCAGATATGCAGATAGAATAATCGGCGGGAAATTGAGGTGCGGCGCAGGGGGGGGGAGTGGGCCGTGGGGAGGCCTGCATGGAAAAGCGTGTACGAACTCAATGCATTGCAACCATTTTGAGGATTTACGTTTCATGCTGTCATGATTTCTTTCATTTTATAACTTTTGCAGATTATAAAACTTGCAATGTTTACATAATGACTCAGCTATTCCTCTGGAATAAATGAAAATTAAAACACACAAATCATTGTTGCAGATTTCTTTTACAACTTAGTGTTCACACTGAATCATTCAATGAGATGTAGATAAAATATTGTGACAAAATAAAAATAAAAATGAGAACTTAGTTTTCTCTTATATTCAACTCAACTCTATCCCAAATGGGCTATTTTTGTCTAATAAAGATGGGGGGGGGGGCCGTTTGAAAAGCCCTCCGCCCCTATGATTTTCTAACTTTTTAAGGCCAGCTCAGTAAAAAATTGAACCTCTAACTTCAATAGTTGGGTGCGACAGAGATTTTAAAAATTTCAAAAATTATGCCTCTAATCAATGGAGGTCATTTGAAAGTACGTTTACAGTCCCTTTAATTAATGATGGGTTAAACAGATTTAAACTTTTACTTTGGACTGTGGTTGGAACTTTGGTAACCTGTTCGAAAAACTATATTTGCAGGATTACTAAATAAGATCCGCCATATTTGTATACCTTAATATTTGCAGGATTACTAAATAACTGCAAGCTGATTTTAAATGGCCTAAATCCAAATAGTTTGAAATACTTAGTATTGTCGTCAATTTTTACGCCGTCTCTAAATTTCAGTGGTTTTTATGACACCCTGTGTAATGTACAAAATACAAATTGCTATAAATGTTTCCATCACCATTTCTAAGAAAACGTGAGAAGGAAGGAAAAAAGAATATTTAACATTTAGAATAAAACAAGTTTCTGATTCCTGCAAATATCAATTTGTTCTCACCTGGTTTCCGTGCATTTTCATCAACTTTCGTGGATGTTCGTTGAGAAGATCTGTACTATTTGAACTTGGATCAGATTCAAACATTGTATAGTTATGTACACCATCATCATCTAGGATTTGTACATCATTGTTATGTACATGATTGAGGGGGTGTAGAAGGTTTTCTTCAATACCATGTATATCTGTCTCAAGTTGTACAATAGCTTCCTCAAGTTGGATGTGCTCTTTTAGCTCGTTTAATTCGTGTACAGTATCTTCTGGCATCCTGTGTACATGAAAACCATTGTGTACGACGTACTCTTTGGGTGTCTAAAATTACAATAATGTATCAAACTATATTTTTAAAATAAGGTATTTTGCTTACTCAGACATTCCGGTGGTGGAAACTCTTGTAATATGAATATCGACATCAATGTTTGATTTCGATCCTTTGTTAATCTGCAGATTAATCTAATCTTTATATGATATCCCTCTTGGTAACTGTACCCAGTTAGGGGTTGTATTGAGTTTTGATCGGGGAGAGGAATAACTAAAACGAAGCTATTGAAAGGTAAAGTTTTTATAGATATTCAAAATAAATAGGCCCACAATGGATATCGAGATCAAGCGTTCGGAGGCCGAATTTAAAGAATTTGAGCCGCGGCTTAAATTTGAGACGTGGCTCAAACATGGTTGGTTCCACTTAAAATTGTATTCGATGTTTCAAGATTTAAGCGCGTGCTCAATTGAAACCGTTTTTTTTTTGCGAATTTGAGACGTCGCTAAAATTCATTGAATTCGGACTCGGGATTATAAATATCAAGCACAAAATTCCCAGCTCAAATTCAACAGAAGCAACCTCTGCAAAACTTCTATTTCTAGTTCCAATCTTTACAAGCACGTGCCTAGTCTAATCCCAAAAGAAATGAGGTTTTGCCACAAAATCTGAGTTTTTAATCCGATGTCGTAGACCTTTGATGAATAAAATAGTCTAAGTTTGAAATATCAAAGGTTTACACCATCAGGTATCAAATATTGGAAAATTTGAGGTTATGGCAAGGACTCAGTTCCTAAAAATAATCTAATTGTTTGGAAATCACAAAATCATTTCCAATCCCGAACCTGTTCATCCGAGTAAATTCTGTAAAATCAGAACATTTGACTTCATGGATAGCAGGCATAAATATGAGATACTTTAAAGTTACACAATATGTACATATAGAGTCCAATATTACTTTGCAAACCCCGAGTTCTTCACAGCAAACTAATTTTGTCCATGTTCTTCATTCTTTAGTTTAGGATTTGAAAAGTGGGATAGTTTTTTACAGTTCTAAGGGATGGGGGCTCTGCCCCCTTGCCCCCCCCCGTATACGCCCTGTTAAACCACCTCCTCTCTAAACAATTCAGAAAGTTTGTTGTACCATCACCTGTTGGTGTATACAGAAAACTTCTGTAGTTGGTCCAACCAATTCCTCACAGCTCATCATAGCAATCTCAGATCCACACAGACATACACCTTTACAATCAGTTTAAAGATATAATTCTACAACCCCCCCCCCTTCCCTAGTCACAGTTTTCCCAGAGTATTACCCCTAGTTTCTCATAGGGATTTACAAACCCACAATTCGATCATTTGACAATGTTCAATTGAAGAAGATCATTAGACAATTTGTTTATTTGACAAAGATCATTGGACCAAGATTATTTTACAGTGATCATTCGACCAAGATCATTTAGAATTTGACAAAGTCATTTGACAAATATCATTTAACACAGATCATTTGATCATATGACAAAGTTCATTTGACAATCTTCATTTGACAAAGATCATTTGACAAAGATCGTTTGACAGAATAAAGACGGATAAAAACATATCTAAAAAATGCAAAATGTTTATGCAAATCTCAAATCTCAATTCCCACAAAATTTGAATCGCAAATTAATCTATAGAGGCATTTCCCCTCCTCCCTCCCCACCCCCTTTCAAGGTTTAAATCTTGGCCTGACCTTTTAATGTTGAATGCCAGTAATGCGAGACAGACGAGCAATGATCCCTGCAGCTGTCTCCTGCTGTTGTTTCAGGGTAGAGATGTATGTGAGCTGTGTCACCGTCAACATCTACGGTTTCTAAATTATATAATTATCAAATATATGATTTATTTGACAACTTGATAGAAATATAAATTATTAAAGGAACTGTTCGCGTGATTTCAAGTAACGTCCATGCAAAGATTAACAACTGTTTTCTTGAAACCTATGATTAAAAATGTGGAAGATACCGTCGTTTTCTGACTCGATCAACCTCTATTTCTGTGAGTTTCTCCAGTGCTTCTTACAAATTTTCGAAAAGAAACCGAAAATAAAAATAAACAGTTTAAATGAACAAAACTATTAACATCTAACTCATACTTAAGCAGACAAATTTGAAATTACGCCTACATTCTCTTTAACTGAAGATAGAAAACAAAACTTGTGTGTTTCTCTGAACACAATTTTATGCAAAAATATATCAGAACTTTTCCAATTACTCAACTGAGGCTAAAAACAAATGCCATCTACCCGGTTGAATTTTCGCATAATTTCCATAGCAACCAGTCATGAGGACGTCCATAATTACCAATGTGACGTAGGATTTTAGGTGTTGAAGACGTTGTAGGGACGTTTAATGCACACCCTCACAACCTATATTTTGAAGTCAAAATTACGTCACTTTGGACGTCCAAATGACCAAACTTTAGTTAAGTTAAGACCAGTATGATACCAGTTAGGTAACCCAACCTAACCCAACCTAACCTGACCTAATCCAAACTAAAGGGATTGGGCATGTTCTGACCAATTAGGTAATTTGACATAACCTGATCAATTCTGACCAAATCCGACCTGATTGGACTGGTCAGGTTAAGATCAGTATGCGACCAGTTAGGTAACCATAATCAATATAACCTGACCTAACCCGACCTAGGGGGACTGGTCATGTTTCGACCAGTTATGTATCTTAACGTAACCCGACCAATCTCAACCAAATCCGCGCTGAGTGGACTGGTTAGATTTAAGACCAGTATGAGACCAGTTAGGTAACTCAATCTAACCCGACCTAACCTGACGTAACCGACCTAGCGGGACTGGCCATGTTCCGACCAGTAAGGAAGATGCTGTAACCTGACCAATCTCGACCAAATCTGACCTAAGTGACCCAACCTAACCTGACCTAACCCGAATAAGGGGGATTGGTCATTTTCCGACCAGTTAGGTATCCTTACGTAACCCGACCAATCTTGACAAAATCCGACTTAGGTGGACTGGTCAGGTTAAGACCAGAATGAGACCAGTTAGGTAATCTGACTTAACCTAATCTAATCTGACCTAAGGGGACTGGTTGTCCAGGAATCATACTGTATATGTGTGAAGTACTGCGTATAATTTGTGAACATTTACATGAATTGTACACTTTAAACTCCCTTTCAGGCTGAAAGGGACTGACAAAATTCATAACAAAGGATTCTTTAAATTCCACTCTATTATATTATATTCTCTTTGTATATATTTCTTGAAAGTTTTGATTATAAATAGTATTTTTTTTATTTGTGTAAATATTTATTTTGATGCATACATTGCGTAGTTTTTTCTTGTTTTAATCAAGAATGTAATGCAAGGAAAGTTATTTCAGAAGTGTACGCATCTTTTGTACTGCAGTGTACTGTCTCTGGGCGGTAATGTAAACAAAAGTGTTACAGCCTGGCATGGGATCCATCTTTCACATAAAAAAATCAATGAAATATTATGGTCATAGGAAACTATTATGTGAATTATCAAAATTATCAAAATTTAATGCTTTAAACCTCCTCGGATACTTAACGAACACTGATGCATCTATTCTTGTTTACAAATTCCGCCCAAAGAGAACTGGTTTCAATTTTTTACGCAATGTATACACGACCGCAATTAACTTTCCTTGTATTACATTCTTGGTTCTAATTGTTGTTACACTAATCACTGTACTGTCTTTATGTATTGTACAGTACTTTTTTTAAATATTTCATGTTGTTGTTTTTCTTGTTGTTTACCATGGAGATATTCTGGAGCATATTTAACACATCCGCAGCTTTCATCAGCGATGATCTAAACAAACATATTAAAGAGACAATTTTTCAATTTTTAATTAATTCTGTTCTAACTCAAAAAATCACATTTTTACATAGAGTGCACTAGTAAATTGTTAATTTCCAATTTCAAGGTACAAAGTATCTGAATTTTTGCCACAAACTCTGAGCTACTATACTCTTTATACCAATATAGTATGGACCTTTGTATTTTTAACTTAGATTATTTAGTCTAACAGAATTAAAAGACACTTTTTGAATTACTAATTTAATGAAATGGGTCGTAGTTAATGCTGTACTTTGTGTTTGAGGTTTATATGTTACAAGTTAAAGTTAATAGACGTAATTACAATTCCTACGTCGTTATCTATATCACATGATTAAGATAGTTATGTTACATATTACAACACAGTTAAAATAGGCGTAGATTAAAATGTACGTCATTCAATATATCACATGATTGAAACCATAGCTTGATTATAAAGGTCGTCTTCCTATTTCAGAGTTTTCTGGTTATTACTGTATGCAGCCAAACAAATGTGCTTTTGCCGATTTATGTACATTAAAAAAAGAATTTTAATCATATGTATTTATAAATCATACTTTAAAATGATTTTTGATATTACCTGTTCAATTAGAAGTATGATAATATAAATTAACATTTTTTAGCATTCTCCTAAAATAATATATTATTAAATGTTTTGGCAGAAAAGGAAACAAGTTAAAAGATGCAAGGAACTACATTCAAATGAGACAAAATTCTGTGCGATCGGTCCCCGCCCTTATATAAGACACTATGCAGCGTTAATTAAAAAGTAATTGTTTTCTTAACAAATCGTTTTTTAATCCAGAACAATTAAATTTTATCAACAAAAGAAATCAATTCATTTTTCTTCTAATTATAATTATGCAAAGCTTCCTTGTCCTAAGATTTGTAAAATGTAATTTTTACTTGGGAAGGGGAGGGGGGGGGGTAAATAAAACTTTAATTAACAATTAAAGAGCATAATTTCAATATGAGGTCAGAGTTTTTAAATAAGCTAATCTAAAAGTTTATTCTTTTCTCTCTTATAGGCAAATTTGGCAGCTCTGCTAGAAATGTAAAATACACAATTATGCAACAAGGAGTAAGAATTTATGAATAGAGAGCAGTAGTTGGACAAATTATGTCAGTTCGACCACACATACTGAGCTGACTGACTCAATCTTTTCCTGTTACAAATCAAAATTTCTCTAGTTAAGTCAACCTACTCAACTAAGAATTGTTAAGAATCTGTCTAAGCTAGAACATTCCCGTGATTCAATAAAGGGGTTCAAGAGTTATGATTGGCCAAATTTAACTTCAACTGCTTTTTTCTCAATATAAAAATGCTCAACTTAGACTAAACTAATGTTTTGAATTCATGCAAACAATAAAAAACAACATTCTTTCTCGAACAAAAGGTTTAACGGTAACTTCAAATTGAATCGTTAGTACCCTCTTTAATCAAAGTTTAAATGTAAATGCGTTTTTATTTCATATTTATAATATTGAAACAATAAATGTCAATTTTAATCTAATAATAAGGTGTGAAAATTAGTTTTTGATGATTCTTGATTTAATTTTCGAACATATCTCTATATTTTGAAACATAACCGGATTTCAGCTCATGTCTCGTTTTCGGAACATATCCTGGTTTTGAGACAATTACCGGAATTCATATCAATGTCAATTTCTAAGCATTTACGCACTTACGTATCAAAACAAGATTTTTTATAAGGTAAAATTTAAACAACATAGAAAATAAAAACAAACTGTTCTTTTATAATTTAACAATCATTACAGCATTGAGAAATCAAAATATTAATATAATTTGTTCTTACAATATAGATTTAACTAGAAATGCGGGAAAAGTTTGTTTAAAATGCCTAAAAAAATAAATCATCGATATTCTCTAATTTAACAGATAAAATGTGGAAACTTAGATTCTATTTCTATTTTCAGTGATTTATTTTGTAAATTATGAAAATGAGTTTTGTTTTGAATTGCAGATAATACTTAAAAACGGGAAAGTGGGGTTTGTCTCGAAAACACGACAATGTCTCAAATTCAGGATATGTTCGAAAATGGAAAACCTGGCATTGTCTTGAAAACGGTCAAGAGATTTAATTAAAAAGAACTCCTATTATAATTTTGATTTAAAAAAAGTTTAAAATTGGGAATTGTCCTCCTCATGGATATGGGCCTGGATCCCAAAAAACCCAGTCTTTAGATTTTTGCCCACTCATTTGCGCAAAAATCTTCGTGGTACCCCTAACGAAAAGAAAGAAAGAGGGAACATAGAATTAGCACCAAACTATACCTGTGTATACTCTTTGACCCTTTTAATGCTTCCTGGTGCAAAAAACTTGCAACCAGATCGACGATGTTAAATACTCTGGATATCAATTGGGCAGTGCACTGTATTTTAATAATTAACCCTATCTATAATTCGGTAAATACGTAGAGCAAAGTACACGTAAAACTAACCATCGTTGTAATTAGTTTTACTTGAGAAATTAAGAAACAAATTATATTCATAAAATGTTTAAATAAAACAATTTAAAAATTAAGTAATTTGATCTGATAACAAAATTACCTACTTAAGAAATTATTTGATCCTCCCTACCCCTCCCCTCTTCCCTCCCCGACCCCTCTTTTTATTCTGATGCACTCAACTCTTGCGCGCGCAACATAACTGTTACTTCTACACAATAAGAGGTAAGGAAGTGAACTGACTGAAGGTGTAAGGCGCGTAGACCTAATATTATGTAAGGTGCAGGGTTCGTAACATCGGACCCTTCCAACCAGAAATCGGTTAAATACAGATTTTTTACTCCTTGGTCGGCTGATAATGTAGAAAATAAGAGAAATCGATGACAATTAAAAATATAAAATACTGCGGAATATGTAATTAATTTGTATGTTTGTCAAGCACAATAGCAGTAAAAATAGATAAATGAACTAACATTTATCTGAGCAGTAATGTTTTTTTAATTATAAAAGTTTTTATTTCTGACATTTATGTTTTCCTGCAGTAGAAATCCACGAGTCAGGTTTTTAGAGAAATCAGAATTGAAAATGATCATTTTTCAAAATTACCTTGATAAATTCAAACTTGAGCAGACAAATCTTTTAATAATAACGTTGTATGAAAATTACGCTTACAGTCCTGTTAAGTGTAAATCCATTTGTAAAGAGTTTCATACAAACCGTCGTTCCATGGCCTCAGAAAGTTGTGTAAGGTGTGTAAAAAAAGCAATTTTTTAATGAGTTTTTGGGACTTACAACTCCGTTTTTTTAGTGACATTTCTGTATACATTTAAGTGACTTAAACAATAAAAGATTTAATTAGGGTTTATCTTTTATCTCTTTATAAATAATATACGCAACAACTCCATATTTGATATTAAAGAGAGAAAAAATGTTAAAATTTTTCTTTTGGTCTATTCATAAAAAGGTAGGTAGTTCCATCTTAATCCTCAAAGATCCAATGGGGAGGGCAAATTGACCCAGGTAATCTTTTTTACCCTCTAACTCAAAAAAAGTCCCAACGAACCTCCCTTGAACTTTTAGCGCAAATATTTTTTTTTTTCTAAAAATATATATTTTCTTATTACGCTTATAAATAACAGAATTGACCCCTTGTCGGCGCAGTCCTCCAATAAAATAATTTACTTTTGGCTGGATAAGTCCTCCAATAATTGCAATATTTTCAAATATTCAATTTTTAGAAACCGCGAGAAAAATTTTTAATTCGCTCACATAATTTAAAGAAAATTATAAAATAAGGGAATTAGAGAAAAAATATAGAGGCATGTTGTATAGTTGTATAGTAATTTTAGGTTCAAAGTTCAATTCCCTTAATAATAGCACATATTCAATAATAGTTTAAATTAAAATTTACAATTATTAATGATAGATCGATTAAAAATAAGAAGAAAAAATATAGATACATAATCTATATATATATATATATATTTGATGGTCTGCTGGTCTGTCTGTTTGTTTATATACAATAAACGGCTGAACCGATCTGGCCCAAATTTTGTGTGGGACCTAACATAACCCTGGGAAGGTTTTTGGATGACCAGAAATATTTTTTTATTGCTTCATAATGTAAACAGAGCTAGACCCGATCTAGAGCAACAGTTGAACAAGAAGAAGGGCTGAAAGCCTGGTAAACTAGAAAGTAGGAAAAAAGCAGCCAACGTGTGTTGAATTTTTAAATTTGTTAATTTTTCTAGACCCCCTTTTACGTGAAACTTGCAGTTTGTGCTAGGGGCGTTAAAAGAATTTACAGAAGGGGGGGGGTACAAGAGAATATAGGTAGCTGTTGCTTTATATATGTAAGCTATGCTCTTAATCAGGCTTGGAAGGTTTTTTAGTGTGGGGGTTGGGGCAAAGTCCTTTTACACACAGTATAAAATGATTGATGGTCCTTTCTGTGTAATCTGTATAATATGCAAGATATTTGTTTTTGAAATTTATACAAGCCATGTACAACTAAACCTGTTTTTTACTCAACCAGCTGTGAGGACTGGACTGCTGCAAAAGATTGCTCTCAATGGGGCTCTAGGGTTTGCAACTCTCCATTTTGCATAAGGGTTGAAGTTATGGGCTTTCCTTAAAATGCCCCTTAACTCGGAAAGAGTATACAGGGACCAATCCCCCATACCCTTCCTTCTAAAAAACCTCCTAATATCTCTCCTACCTGCTCCACAACTCGATGTCACAAAAACTAATTGGAGAGGCCTCAAAGTGTAGAAACAATAAACAAGAATATAAAAAAGAATAGAACTAGGAAGAAAAAAATGGAAGGTAATCTTTAATGTGAAGCTGTACACTGTCATATATTCCAAAAGCAAATGTAGACAACATTAGGGAAGGAAAGGACATGCCCCCCCCCCTTCTAATTATTCTACGTAAAAATCCTAGAATAGCATGTTTAACTGTTGCTGACATTGCACCACTAGGGTTGTTTATCGTTTTTGTAAACGATAGTTTTTTGTTTCGTTTTCAGAAACAATCGTTTCGTTTTCGGAAAAAAACGATCATTTATAAAAACGACCCACTCTTTTAAAACTTTTAGAAAACGAATAGCAATCAATTTTGAAAATGATCGTTTTTATTAAAACGATTTGCGACCGTTTTTTATACGATTGTTTTTAAAAAAAACTATCGTTTTTGAAAAAACGATCGTTTAAAAAAAATTTGATTGACAATTATGTTAACGATCGTTAACTAAGGTTCTTCGTTAACAATTGTTAACGAAAGGTCGTCGTTAACGATCGTTAACGAAGGGCTGTCGTTAACGATCGTTAACGAAACAACGAACTTTATCAAATCAGTCGTTTTTGGAAAAAAATTACATGCAATTTTATTGAATGTCGTTTTACATAAAGTTTAACAGTTGTGGGGGAGTTAAAACTCCTTGATATTTTCTTAAAAACTACTCAATAATAAAGACAGATGTCCTTCAGGTCGGTTTCCTCTCTTTGTTAACAATTGTTAACAAAGGGGTCGTCGTTAACGATCGTTAACGAAGGTTGTCGTTAACAAGCGTTAATGAAGGGTTGTCGTTAACAATCGTTAATGAAGGGTTGTTGTTAACGATCGTTAACGAAGGGTCGTCGTTAATAATCGTTCACAAAACGACGAATTTTATAAAAACGATCGTTTTTAAAAACGAGTGTTTTGAAA